GGGGGCAAAACAATTATTTTCTGCAGTTGCAGAACTGCGGCCGAACCATGAAAAGCATTTTTTAAAAAATATATAATTTCGAGGTATATTTGCGTTTATGCGCGTGTGGTTCATCCGTACGCCAAAAAGTCCACCAAGACTTATTAATTATTGTGCAAGTTATAAATTCCCAGACAGGCTGGTTATAAATCATCGCTGTGCATGGGTTCGAGGCAAAAAAGGGGTGAACGTAACCATTTGACCGGGACAATATTCAAAGTTACACAAGTCCTTCCCCTCCCCCTTTCTACCTTTAAGGGACATGTCTTACATGTTGGCTGGACTTATACAGGGCGGTGAACATGAATGTGTGTGCAGTCTCCAATATGCACAATCAAAATGTACACACAAACCATTGAACCAAATAGCCTACCCATATCTAAATATCCCCATTTATATATAACGCAAATATAATGTTTTATATTACTGCCTGAGAAACAGGCGTAAATGTGTATTTTTTGTTAATAAAAGGTTATTGTCTTACAAAGACAAGACAGGGCAAAGGAATGAGCAAAGTCCTGACAAAGTCTTTCCTGCTGCCCTCGGATTACTTTCTCAGCGCGACAGTCAATGAGTGACATGAGACATCTCTATTGTAAAGTGAACGCCATCTTCACCTTTCTAATGTCCATCTGCTCTCTGCGTGGATGCGCGACGTTTGAATCTGTACGTGTGCAAAAATGTAACATACCGGTGATGCAAAAGTAGGGCCCACTCGCACCAAATAACAATACATTTCACTGCCATTTCGATAGATTCTCAGTATGTCCATTCATGTTTGTTTTCCAGACATTCAAACGTTTCCAACCGAAGCCAATCGCGGTTGTGTGCTATGGCCTTATGTGAATATATGCGTATTTGCTGATGCAACTGTTTCTGTCAATGCACTTATACAGACCATATATTTTAAATTGTAGCTCATTGTAGCTTTGTACCATTTCGGCAGCCTGGATCCCTTTCATTTCACGTGTGCACCTTTAAGTCTTATTGGCATTACTGTCTGGCGAGTTATTACCGTTGCTTAATTGTACACTGAGAGATCTGCTCAACTCTGCGTAACTGTGTTGGTGTAGAATGAATTTCACTAATTTGGCACAGTGGTCGGGTTTCGGCATGATTTAGATATTTTTTTGTGAATTGTGCTGCGTTTATTTCGGGGGAGCAGAGCCTGTGGGTATGACAATAAACTTGCACGTAGATGTGCGTGGAGAAGTTTCACCAAACTATCCGTCTGAATCAATGTGTGTTTACGAATGTGAGCGTCAGGGTTGGCATCTGGTCAGGTCCACCTTCCAATTCATGTTGATGTAAGTTTTTATCCGGATCATCATTTTCGGGAGCATTTGTTATTTGTGTCAGCCCACACGGCTTGTGTTTAGATATTAGTGTGTGCGCTGATGTGGTTGCACATGGCTGCTTGTGCCAATCTTTATGTAGCTTTGCACAGTTGTATGCTTCTGTATTGTTTGCACTTTTATGTGGACTGGCCGGTTACTCCCTCACAGAATAACAGGGAGCAAACAAACTCGCGTGTGTTTATCACACTCCTGCCAGCGGTGACCGAACCTTCTTCGAATAAAATAATCATATCAATATCGCGTTTAAAATCCAACGTTTGCAACGCGGGCCAAGAGGAATAGAAAGTCGCAAAAAAGTTTAAATTGAACCGATTTCGTCCACCGACCGCTATTGGCAATGTGATCTTAAAGGTTTGTGTTTTTCTTTCGCCCCCTCAGAACTATTCTGTTGTGTGGTGTTAATGACGAACGGGTCGTTGCGCTGTCTGAATGTTTTATAGGCGGGGAGGGAGGAATGTATGAGCGCAGCGAGATGATAATTTATAGACTGAAACGCGTCCAACAAGTAACTCACAGTTTACAGTATGTCCTTCACAGCAGATACACTCCAGGCACACAACCACTGCCAACCGCACAACCGCAATGTATTCGATTTGCTTTACACATGATTTTTACGCAAAATTTCAAACATTGGCCACATTCAAGCTCGTCACCCTTTTCGCGAATGAAATGCGTTTCTTGTCGATTTATTTTAATTTTGCAGGAGGTGGCGAAAACAATAAGGAAAGAAATGTTACCCCGCACCAAATATCTACTGCATTTACCAGATAGTCTTTGCTCGGAATAGGACGGTATTTACATATGTTAATTTATCACGATTTTCGCATTAACTGATTGCCTCGGTCTGCAAATGATATGCAACGATGTGTATTAACCGATGGGATTTTATTTCTGTCAGGGAATGGCCTGAAAACCTTGCAAACTACTTAGATTTTCATTCGCGCACAGCTCAGCCTCACCCGGTGGATTGTCCGGCGTCGAAATTCAATTTCCACCGACAAACACATCAATTACACCAACTTTCTATTTCAAGGGTAAAACAGGTTTGTGGTTTTAATGCAATCACTCATTGTCACCCTAAACCAGCTTTTTTGAAGCTGCTTTACGTTCACAATAATCATTAATTTGACTGGATACAAAACAACGGAAAAACATAAATATAAAAATATATACTTGTCAACTGACTATTTAACTCGGACTTGCTCAACAACACAATCTCTTTATATGTTTCTCCTTGAGGTTAAAAGTAATTTTCTCTCTTTTCGGGGGAAACTCCACTGTAAATCTCAGATAGACAGACGGAATTAAACTTAACTAATCTTATAAATTGCTTTTATCTTGGTTTGCTTGGGGGCTCCCACTCTCGCTGTGACCAGACATGTTAAACTATATATACATATACACATACGTTTGCGGGAATTATAAAAAAAAATCGATAAAATCAAATTATTGATAAAATCCGTTAAATAATTTAATAATTCCTTTCCGTCATCAAATATACCCAGACTATCTTCTTTGAGATCTGAAAGCTAATCTGTTTTAAACAGCTTTTCTTCTCTTTTTTCCCCCCCCCAAGGCTTCACCTCACTTGTTGTGGTGCCATCAATGTAAAATCTAAATCTAACACCCAACAGCCACATTTAACAATTCAAGGAAATTCTGCGGAGGAGATTGTGTTCATCATTTTCTGCAGAACTGTACAATATTTGAGCAACAATACAATATTTTTTTTTAAAAAAATGAATCGAAAATAATCTAAAAATTTTCAGTATAAAACATTTTTTTTTACAAGTTTGTGAATTTAAATCGTTCTCACCAGGTCTCTCTCTCTCTTTTTTTTTTGCAAAGGTTGAATAAGGAAAATGGCATTTACAGAAATTCTGTTACCCTCTAATTCAGTGTCATTACTTTTTCATCAGCTTGCATGTTGTATACAGACTAAAGTAAATGAATGACAATGGATGCCTGTTGTACAAAAATATATGATATAATAACACAACATAGTGGAGAACCTGATCTATTTGAAGTAATGCAGTGTGCCATATTAGTCAGAGGCACACACAGATATATTCACTACAAAAGGTAGTGATCACTTTATCAGCCCTCAAAGCGTAGGAATCCAACGGGAAGTACAATACTACAAAAAAAGGGTATTCAAAAAATAAGTATATATGGCTGTCTCCCGACAGCTTTTCCTCCAATTTCGCTAACATTTCTTTGATTTGTGGATTTAAAAAAAAACGTCTGCCAAGCATAACCGTTTTCTAGCCACGATGATACCTCGCCGGATCGTGCTGGGTAGGGAGGGGGTGGGGGGGGGGGGGGGGTGGGGGTGAAAAAATAAAAAAAATGTATTTATCAGAAATTTAAATAAATGCAATTACTGTGGCATTAACACGTTTAAGCAGACGCTGAAGGGTAATCCTGAATTGCTTTGTGGGGGGGTTGGGGGGTTGGGGGGGTGGGGGGGGGGGAAGCCTCTGTTGACCACGGACCCATGTGAGGCACTGACCAGTAGAGGGCACTCGCATTCCTCACAGATCACCACTTGCAGACTATTGAACAATGCCCTCGGATCCAATGGACCCAACTCAAACATTTCACACGATCAGCACGTTTGTGGTCAGAAAACACTTCTTCTTTCTGTCAAATTTCTCTTTGTATTGATAAGATAATTTAGCCGAATATGTCCTGTACGCGTGTAATATTGACTCAAGAGCAGAGGCGAGCTGGTGACCAGCTTTGCTGATCGAAGGTTTTGATCCGCAGGAAGGAAACCGGTTTTAAAGATTTTTTTTAAAATATATATATATAAAAAAAAGCGACCCCCCCCCCACCCACCCCCCCAAAAAAAAGCCAATTAAAAAAAAACTTGAACTGGAATATATTACAATTAAAGATGCGTTGCCGTCGGACTGGTGTTCCGTTTGGCACGGATCTGTGAGACAGCACGTGTGTGTGTGTGTGTGTGTGTGTGTGTGTGTGTAATAAAAACTGATTCTAGTTGTAGCTGACGAGCCTGGTATGTTATTATAAAAATGTAATCTAAAATAATAAGTGCATATGACATACGCCTCACACTTCACAAATTCCTTCTTTTTTGCCAATGTGTATTTAGCGAATCGGGTGGTCTGTACGGGAGTACTGCACATAGTACTGTAGTAGTCATAACGCACAGTATATGTACATATACACACACACACCAGATTAAGGTTTTATATTTCAAATTTGTAAATGCTGATTTAGCAAGTAAGCAAGTGTGCACCACTCCACATTAGTCTTAATGGCTAAATCTTGATTTGAGATGAAATAATCTACATATGTATATAAATAGGTATACATTTTACACGCATGCCTTATGAAACCAACCTGTATTGCAAGACATTTATGTGGAGAGGTGCAAATAGATGTCTTGCAATACGTAGCGCATGTTCCTTCAGAAGCTTAAAGCCGTGCCTACGAAAGTAAAGAATATCTTCACATCGTTATTGGGTTTTTTTTCAAAAAAAGAGGCCGATTTGGAAGTTAAACTGCCCGCACTCGCCCCCCGCTCAGTAATATCACATCCCACAAAACCAAGACATAAGACTTCGAGGTTGTGCGATTGCTTGTTTTATGTAAGTAATAAAATATTACTTTAACATAAATATATAAGGGACTCTGCGTTGTTTCTTTTATCTTCACAAGACACATTGAAATGTACCAAAAACAAACTTTTCAAGAAGGGAAAAAAGCATAACGAAAAAATTTACATCCCACATATAACATCTAATCAATTAAAGCTACAGAAGAAACAGTTTCCAGAACTTCTTTTAAAGAAATAAATACATCGAGGCAGGCCACGTGAAAATGATATTAAAATTCCCTGGGCAGCATTATGAAAAAAATGTATACAATGAAAAAAAATCATTCAGATTATTTTTTTCTTTCAGTTCAAAGGACAAATATATGCAACATATATACATAGTGGTATACGATGTGCATGATAACCGCTCTCCATTAAACCTATGATAAAAGGTTCTAACAAAGTACTCCACGTTCAACTTCATGTTACTAAACGAACAGACACAAACTTAGTTAGTGTCTCAGAATTATTTATCTCTGTACCAACCTATCTGACCCGGTTTTTTTTTATTAATTATTTTTTTTACACTTTACTAAAATTTATCGTCTTTAGGAATCGCTATAAACTGCGGTTAAATTACAATCATATCACCACATCAAAATATCTCAAATACGTACACACCTTTTCTAGAAGTTTGAATGGTTGGATATGTTCTTTGTAAGAAAGCGCAATATACTGATATGTGTTTTTAAGGGTTTTTTTTTGTCCTTCTTCATTTGTCCTGACATTAAGAGGACACCGCAGTTTTGTTTTCGTGCTAGACTCTAGGCGCACATTTAATGAGTAAAATGTTTTATACTGAAAATGTGACAGGAACAACAGTATTTTAATTTTCGGGTTTTTATATTAAAAAAATTAAAATTATTGTACAGTGCTAATTCGGCGGGCGTTAAAATGTTAGCTAGCATATTTGAAATAGTTCTGTTGGTGTAAAAAGATATTGCAGTCTCAGGACGAGAATCAGTTTATACATGGGGATAAAACTTTTAGTGATTCTGTAGTACTTTATAGCGCCTAATATTTATTGATTTATCATTCTTTTTTTAAAAAAAAGTTTTTTGTGTGTATGTGTGCATATGAATTGATCCCGTTTGCTTTTTCTTAATCTCCCAACTTCAGATCCCGAAGAGAGTTGTGTGGTCTTAGCTGAGCCCCTGTGTGCCTGATTGACACAGGCTATTTTCTGCTCACATACACAGCCTCTCATCTCATACAATTCAGCGCCCAGGAGAAATATCTCCCACTCTGCTGAGAATTTTTTTTATAAAAAAAAGCAAATAACTGGGATGGCGGCTGGTTCAGAGAGCAGTGTATTGGAATTTCCTTTTTCTCACCCCTTTCCCTATTCTTCCAACAAACAAAACTGCAGCTCGTGGCCAAATCCTCCTCTGCTTTTGCTACAAAAAAAAATCCCTTTGCCCCATCTGTCACAGTGGATCTGTACATTAACAATTATAGCAGCCTTTTAGGTCACATTCTATCTAGGCAGTTTGTGTCTCTCGCCACAGTTTTGCAAAGGTATGTATGTATATCAGTGCCTCTGTTATTTATATACTCACTCCATTTGCCTGCGAGCTCCTTCTGTATAGGTCAAAACACATCATTAACATGTGCTATCGTAACGATAGTCCAGTGTTTTAAGCTGTTCGTTAAGAAAAGAACAAATAAAAGGAACAAAAAGTGATTGGGGTGTTCGTTCACTGTACAGGAGTCTGAACCCCAAGATGTGACGGTGGAGTGTCCCTGGCCCCATATACATCCTCGGCTCCGGGATGAGTTCCTCCGGGAGGAGTCATCCGTTTCTCTTTCTGTCGCCTGTTACAAAACCAAACCCTGACCACCTCCTTCTCGAGCTGAAGACTGTCCGCTAGACTGGTGATTTCCTGGGCTGAGGGCTTGGGACACTTCAAAAAATGGCTCTCCAAAGCCCCCTTGACGCTCACCTCGATAGAGGTCCTCTTTTTCCTCTTCCTGCCCTGGGCTGCGATTTTGTCTATGCTGGTGGGGCTCCCAGATGTAGAGTCAGCCTCCTCCAGCCACTTGTTCAACAAGGGTTTGAGTTTGCACATGTTTTTAAAGCTGAGCTGCAGCGCTTCGAACCTGCAGATAGTGGTCTGAGAGAAGACGTTGCCATAGAGGGTCCCGAGAGCTAGTCCCACATCGGCCTGGGTAAATCCAAGCTTGATCCTCCTCTGCTTGAATTGCTTGGCAAACTGCTCCAAGTCGTCCGAGGTCGGGGTGTCCTCGTCCGAGTGATCGTGACCCTGATGCTGATGTTGCTGCTGCTGCTGCTGCTGTTGATGATGATGCTGGTGTTGAACGTGGTCGTTGTGGTGGTCATCGTGAGTTTCCCTTAGCCCGTGGTGCATGCCCTGAGCCGCTGCCGGGTTGATCATGCCGTTGACCGTGAAGCCCGGCTGGGAATAGATGAGACCCTGCCCGTTGGATGCCATGCTGGGGATGTGGGCTGAAGTGGTGGCGCCCCATGCTCCGTGGTGGTTGCCGTGCTGGTGGGCCATGTGAGGGGGCCGGTGGTGCAGGGTGGCCCCGCTGTGGAGATCATCCCTCCCCGTTTGCACCGAGGGCTTGATGTCTTGCTGACCGAGGGGGCTGGCCGCCACGCCGGCCGACCACGGAGACCCCTCGGCGTGAGAGAGAGCAGTTAACCATTGGTGAGCGTGGCTGAGAGGGTGCCCATTGCTCTGCATGTAATCATTCTGGACCAGTTTCTGTGCATCCCTGTAGACTGTCCCTTGTTGCATGCTCCCCGGCTCCGAGTGCACGATGGAGTTGGAGGTGAGGATGTTGCCGCTCGTAATGTAATGATTAGACGCTGTGGTCGCCATGACTTGCTGAGCCGGAGTGATCTGACTTGTTAAACGAGCCGAGCCTTTGACAACTTGCACCGCGCTCCGATCATTTGCGGCTCCGAGCAGGAAGCCGACGCGGTGCGCGCCGGCTCCGGCCGCCCATTGGCTGACCGCTCCATGATTGACAGGGCGGCCCATGGCAACCCCGGTCGGGTAACTGCATCCCAGACACGCCATTGGAGGAGCAGACTTGGGTGGGGGGGGGGGGGGAGGTGGAGGTGGTGGTGGTGGAGGGAGGGGAGGGGGGGATTTTTTTTTACACACATCGCTCTTTAGACCCGGGCGGCCACGCGGAAGGAGGAGAAGCAGAGGGAGAGGGAGAGGGAAGGGGGAGAAGCTCTGGCTCCATCCCTTAGAAATGGAAATCAACACAAAAGCAACAAAGTGAACAGCCTCAGACCCTCAGTCAGTCCCCCCCCTCCACACACACACACACACACACACACCCTTCCCCATCCATCCCCTCCCCTCCTCCCAAGGCGATGTCCGTATAAAGTGATGGAGGATATCTGGTGGGAGTTTTAAGACGCATTCGGCGAGTGCGCCTGAGATAAGTCAAGCCAATTAGAGAAGTTTATCCCGGGCTCTTAGGAAACAATAGCTGGACGTTTGCAGCAAAAGCGCAGAAGGGGGAAGTTTGCCAAAGAGCCCAAGACTTCCCTTCTGCCTCTCAGAAAATGGTTGCATTGTTGGGAAGTTGCTGAGAGCTGCGTCGCGGATTGAAAGAGGAATGTGCACACAAGTGCTCGTGCTCCCAACTTTCTCAAACGTGCTCTCCATCTCACTGTATCGAAGCAAATGAGTAAAGATCCAATACTTTCCCGGCTCGCAGTACTGCCCTATTGCTTCTTACTCTGTATGTCTAGCGTGTAATCCTCTTTATCTGACCGTATCGTTTTCAGGAGCGGGTTACTTTTTTTCACGACGTGGGTTATTGTTTGAGCCACAAGAGTTTCAGCGGCACTGTACAATCGGCTCATTGTATCGCGCCCGAGCGCGGCGTTAGCAATTCACAAAACACAACACACAGCAGCTGTAAGGGCACAGGGCTGCTAATCCAGCACTGCTCGCTCCAGGTCGCCAACTGCACATTGTGTGCCATTGAAAATGTTAATATTTTAATAGGGTGGGGGGGGGGGGGGGGCGGGGGGGCGCATCTGGTTCGTTTGTGTGAATGATACTGGAAGCGTTAATCAGACGGGTGCAGGGGCTTAAGCGTTCGCCGACGCTGTGTGACGGGATCTGTTTGGTACAATTTCTCTCTTTTTTTAAAAAAAATTGGGAGTGAGGGGAAACAGCGCACTCTGCCTCCCAGGGCCAGCGGTCACTCTGCACTGAAGTTTCTTCATCTCTGAACGATGGAGGTCCGGGTGGTTTGTGTCAACTCCGTAAGGTACTGGATCGCATGCGATATATCCCAGTGCAGCCCATCACTGAACGACTACGTCTGAGATCGGGACACACACAGCTCCCTCCTCGGACTTTATTTCTTTATACTATACTGTCATTTGCGGACCACAGCGCTTCCCGTGTCCGGTGCAATTTGGTTTGTACATACAGTACCGTTGGTGGGGGGGGGGGGGGGGGGGGAGTGTCTCGCACTCCCAGCAGAGCGAGAAGAGGCAGATTCCGACTAACCTGTTTATGTCTCTATAGCCAGAATGCACTTCAGGGGAAAGCGAGAAGGAACTGAATAGTGTCTACCCAGCTTCATACAGAACAGAAACGGGTAGTAATCTGTCTGTGAGATCGCAATCCGGCTCCGTCTTAGTGAGGCTTGATATTGCTTTAGCCACTTTTCAATTGGCCCGCGGTGTCTGCATTTATAGCTCTGACCAACTTTCTGCTCTTACTGTGCAGCTGTGCCGGATCTCTATCACACAGTTACATAGAGACCCGTTTTAGCCTGAAAATGGGAACTGCTCCGGTTTAAAGCGTCAGTGCAGATGGGTTTTCGATTGATCTTAAGAAATAACCTGATCCTCACCCTCCTGCCAGATATTAGTATTCTGCAGCTTCATTTGAAATCCGAAGCATTTCCCATTTCCGGTAGAATTTGATTTGCAAATGACACTGAACAGTCAGAGACTTTTTCTAAAGTTGTTTCTGAGACTGGACTAGAGGTCGGGGATGACATTGACCCAACCGGAGTCTGAGACTGTCCGCCACTAGACTTGAATGTGTGACGGCCCTGCATTTGAAGACGTTTGAGTTTCAGACTAAATCTGATATTGTGAGCAAGAGACCGAGCCTTAGATTGACTTAATGAGCATGCTCCAGTGGATTATCATAAAAGTATTCTCCTGGCATAATGTAAATGTGACGCAAAAAAATCCCAGTCTACAGCTGCCAATTGCAAAGCATATGGCTGTGTCACTGTATCTGAGACGAGCAGTATCTTGGTCGAGCAGTGAGTCAGTTTCGTGCTGCCTGCAAGATAACATGCAGAATGGACGCAACATCCCACAATCCAATCCATGTTATGACACACATCAAACTTGTTGTGTGTACAGCGCATGTCCACACGTTTAGATTGACAGACAAGGACAAGGTACTGGTAGGTAAGTCTGATGTGCATTTGCCACGCTATCCTGGGCGGTGCGCTTTCCTTTCAAATCTAGAGCAGCATACATGTGCGGACAAATAGTGAAATAAATGTTATAACACGTATATATTTCACAATCGGAGGCATCCGGAGTGCCCGGTGTTCGAGAACACGATAACATCTGGCACGACGGAGCTGCATTGAGTAATGATTCTTTAAAGAAAGAAGACTTGGGAATATAGATAGAGAGAAATAAATTAAGACCCGATACTGATCAAGTACACCACCGACTGCATTTTGAAATGAAATCGAGTCAATTGCAGTTTGAATACACGTAGAAATGGTGTAACGAAGCTCTCATAGCTCGTTTGTGTGCATTATGCACGTGTAAATATGTCTGTGTGGTGTATATCTATGTATAATTGGTATCAATGCTGAGATAGGTGCAGTTATCCATCTATCTATATATATATGCAAGATATGTAATTGCATGAATGTCCTAAAATATTTATTAGTATATGCATGTTGCTAATATCTTTATATTTATTACATATACACGCATAAACATATGCAATGCACTTCACACTTGTGTTAGGGCGTTTACATATCGTTTCTCACTGCAATCGTGTAGAAATGTTTATTTTTTCGCTGGATGTTTATATTTACATATTTATGTTTATTTTGGCCAGTGGAGGTCCCAGTGCCAAACCATGCATATGGGCACGACAGACGCACGTGTAGTCCACTCATGATATCCCATTCCTCGGACTCTCTGGGCGGATTAAAACTGTTCAGTGAGGACTCCTTCTCGCCAGAGCAGGTTGCAAGGCGCTGTAGCCAGTGCACAGTTTCAGAGCCAGACTTTGCTGTTTGCTTCAGTTCAGCCTCTGAGCAGCTGTTCAAATACAAGAGCTGCGAACTGTGACGTGACGGGGATTTTAAAACGGCCCCAAAACCTTTGAACTGCACAGAGATCTGTGATATAACCCCTCTCTCCGGCGCAGGAGGTTTCTCCGCTGATTTTGTTGGGTAGTGTGTCCCGGTTTAAGTACTCTGTATCCCTAGGCCATTGGAGAGTGAAAACAAATACCGTAAAAACATATTTCTGCAATTCAGTATCATTAATGCATTTGCGTTTTTTTTCCCCCCACACAATCAATCAATGCAATAAAATCGTTTATGTTTTGCACGGTGGGGGTTGAACAGAGCAGCTTACTTTGGTAGATATGCAACTGGAGTCAGATAGTTTACTGTCTTTCTTTTCTGTTTTATCCCATCCACCTCTATCTATTGTTCTATCCACACTGATCTCCCCCTCTCTCCCCGGCCATACACCTTATGGTTTTTTTTCCCACCTTTATATCTATTATCTTTCTATCACGCATCGGTTTTGTTTCGGTAAGGTGTTGATCGTGGGGTTGAGTACAAACAAGAGAACAGTTTTCTGGTATTGTGCAGACCCATTCAAGCCAGCAACACGAAACAACTGCCTTTTCATTCCAACATGTATTCATGCCATGTTATGTAAAAGTTTATCAGGCTCCATTTCAGCTTCCTTCAATCCGTTCATCTTTCAGTTGAGCCCACGGAGCTGTTTCCCAGCCCCGTTGGTTTGGGTGTCTGTTGACAAGCGCTGCTCTGGAAATTATATTTGCATTCCAGTCACTTTCACTTACATCACAGCCAGAAAGATGCTTTCAATTATGAACCGGAAGTGTTCAGCGAGGCTCAAATTTGTTAAACTTGAACCAACTGGCCTCCTAAGAAGAATGCTTCTGAGCAGAATTGCGTTCCCAGACTTTCACATTTCTCTTCCACCCAGAAGCTGCGGTTGAAATGCTTCTCCTGTGTAGCTTTTCCTATTTATTGCAACTTGTTTGCATTCTGCCTATTAGTGAATTGATGCAAACACCGGTTACTCGCAGCTCCCCCTCACTGACCGCCTGCATTTCACAACCCAGGGGCTGTCTGATCTGAAACGCCAGTGACAAAAGATAAGCGTTTTAAGGGACAACACGTTTTAAGTAACATTACAAGAGCGTTGCTAACTTTGCACGTTGTGCAGGCATCATTCGGGTTTCACCACGTTTTGTGAATGCAGTGCTTGTCAGGCTTGATCCTGTCACTTTTATTCCGAAGAGCATTTATTGTATCGCGAACTAAATCAATAGTTTTTTTTTAAAAAAGTTTAAAATGGCGAATAATTTTTTTTTAGAAGCGTTTGCGTCTGGAGCTTGACTCACACACACGGTGGCGATTGACAATATGAAGCTCCAGGTTGCGGTGCCCTTAGAGGCACAAAACATGTCTCAATCACTTTCACTGTCTTTATGACTACTGGAGAGTTAGCATTTGGTCAAAGCTCCACTAATAAGGCGAGCTGAGCCTTTTCCAGTGAGTGATGTCATTCTTTGCAGAAGTTTGCACCGGTA